TCTGCCATGACTTCTGCCTGAAACTAAGTACGAGACAATTCAAGGCTGTTGTACAGCCATCATACATATAGGACAAAAAAATAATACTTTATTATAATATTAATATGATTGGCTCTTTCCCAATCACTCCCATATCGTGGGTAATCACAGAGAATATATTTTGCTCCTTTTAGAACTCCGTTGGTCAATGAAAACGTCAAGATAAAATCCAAACCTTAAACCAGGGAGTGTAGAAGTCGAGACGCATAAATTATATTTGTTTGTTTTATTGAAGGAAGAACCTTTATATACGTCAAAGTTGAGTATACAGGTGCGTGTGGTACAACTCTGAATTGTGAGGAGGTAAGGAGATCGGTGTAGGCATGCTGTGGTGGTGGGAGGGAGACGAGCTGGGCCCTGATGCCGTCTGCAAATGCTGCTGGGACGAAGACAGAGAGGACTTCGATTTCCAGTTGGGAGATAACGTCTGCTTTAACGCTCCAATGATTTCATGACGCATGCCAGCGAGGATATCCGTTTTCAAGCAGTCTAGATCCAACGCAGTTATGCCCCCTCTTGAAAAGGTGACGTCACTTCCGTCTAGTGATGTATTTAGCCCACTGGGATTCCCGATGTCTATTTGCGGCAGCGTGAGGTGTGTCCGCCCCTCTTGGTGTGGTTGGTTGAGGGAGCTCCGCCCATCGTAAACTGTCCTCCCGCAATGCGTTGTCTGGTACAGGGCGTGATTGGGCGACAAGCCATTGAGGGGTGAAATCGGCGGGATTGGGGATATACGGGAAATTGTGTGATTCAAGTCTCGCCGTAAGCTGTCCATGTGTCCAGTTGTTCTCACGACTTCTCGCTTACGGTCCTCTCGCAGTTCAAACCTGTTGGGATAAAGTTCGAGGTTCATTCCATTAGTTAGACGTGATAAGCTTACCCCACGTCTTGCAATGTATCTAAACACGAATGGAACTCCTTCCAGTAGCAAGATGTAGTGATGGGCTAAATGCCTTGACCCCCCCCCCCCTTCCCTCAAACTTCACCCACGAGTAAATGAATGTTTTTTAAATTAACGAAATAATAATTTGAGACAGTTATGATTTCATTTATGAACACACACTGACTCGACTGAGTAAACTGTGTGACCCCTTGCTCGTTTGTCCAATCACTGTGGTCACAGCTTACAACGATAGCAACCTAACAGCCAATCACATTTCTTTAGAGCTCAGCAAAGTATTACTATTAGTCCGTTCCGACGGCCTTTCTAAATATAACTCTTCTTGTTATACGATAAAAAAAATTTTAAGAACTGAACTTGCGAACAATGTAAAAGTAGGAGAGAGGCTCACGCTCTCCAAGTCCTCAGTAATGGGGTGTAAGTGTACGACACACTGTCCTCAGTGACATAGCTACTTAGCCTAAGCGCTCATTGGATCTTCGTTAGGTGTCACAATTTTTTTTTTGCTTGACGGTGAAAAGTCTGAGGTGAGACGGTTTGGTCCCCACCAGCCAGAACATTTGAAGATAAAAGACGAAGACGACCATTCTCGGGTCTGGGTGGTTCTCAAAATGCCGTGAATAGCCTACATAAAAATCCTCGCTGTTTTGCTTCTATTGCTTGCTATGTGGTTGTAAAAAAAGTGAGTAATAATAGATAGCATTTGTAGACTAGTGCAAATTCCCACTCAACAGCTAGCTCTGAGCGGTTTACAACATAATAAGCCCCACTCACGGTTTAATCCACCAACCGCCACTGCTTTTACTCCACTCCCTTTAAATTCCCCGCCCCATATCAGAAATCAATCTGACCTGCCAAGTCATTCTTAATAAATAATTTAATTCTACACAATTCCATTTCCCAAGATAGCTGTATTTATTAACTACATGTATTACCTTGTCAGTTGGCCTGATTCAGGGAAAAAAAATTTAACAAATAAATGGAATAATACATTTGGCACGAGTAATACATTGGGATGGCTTATTTTTTTATCACTGGTAAAGATAGCAATAAATGTGGGACTCATGAAACACTTGGAGTGCTACTCCTTAGGGTATATAATGTCTGCCAGGAAGGCTCGACCAAGCCATCCTCCAGGACTTCCCATTTGACCAAAGCCGGTTCATTAGTATGCATTCATATATGACCATAACTGCTCGTTGAGGGGTGGAGGATATATTAGTTTTTAAAATAAATGTTGATTAAAACCGATTTCCGTTTAATACATGTACATCCTTCTGCGTGCCTAATTAACCCCTTCATTGCTGAGACGTGTCCGCCTAAGTTTGACTCGACAAGATAAAACGTCCGTTCAAGAGAGGTTTTCCAGAAACCTATGATAATTTATACTCTTTAAAAAAAGGTACTTAAAAATCCAAAATACCCCCCAACCCC